TAGCCTAATCGAACGAGCTCAACTAACTCGATTTTTGTCTCGAGTCGAGCTCGAGCTAGAAAAATAAAATTCGATAAAGTTCGAGTCAAGTTTCGAACTCAAACTTAATACTATATCGGCTCGAATTCGATCGATTACACCTCTATTGCTGATCTAGGAAAAGGAAATCATTGGGTGAGTGAATGGCAGAGCAAATCCCCATTGGCAAAATCGAATTATGCAAGAGCACAAGCATTTTTTGCTAAGGGAGAATTGCTCTGTTATTCCTCAACTTCACATCTTCTAAACTGATATAATTCCACGACCGGTTGTAGAGATTCAAGACCAGTATTTATAGTGCTCAAATACCACATATTTTCTTTCCAATTTACGAAATGGGTTGGGAAGTAAAATGTTTTGGATATGCCAATGGAAGGAGTGGCATATGCCAAGTCAAGCCAGTGAAGACTCCCCATCTCAGTCATGGGATAGTGGTCCTAATTTTCTTGTGTATCTGCTTTCTCTTGCAAAAGTGAAGCCATTTTTCCCAATTTATGTTGCAATATTTACGATTAACAAAGCAGTTGATCAATTTGCTTCTCAAATTATCAAATCATCTAATCCTGCAAGAAAAAAAAATTAACATTTGTGTCAAACATAAGGACAAGTAAGATGAGAAACATGGGTATATCAAATAATACCATTACAAATATTTAAATACTAATTATAGTTTGGCAAAATACAGTAATGTCAAACAAGACTAGTTAAAAGCTGGTTCAGGCCGTGCATTAAGAAATCAAACATAGCCTTTTGAATCAAGTATGCAGCAAATTTTCTATCCATAAAATTGTTTATACATCTTTCAACACTTTTAGGATTCCAATACTATTTTAATGTCATTATCAGTTATGAAAGCTGTCAGAGAACATGAGAACAGTTAATAAAGAATATGGTATAAGCATATCAGAGCTGGACGCATATATGCTTATGGGAAAATGTCGACTTATGCGAAACATGCATGAGTACACGTAAAATCATGCAGCATCAACATAAAATGTTCCTTCATCTCCCATAAAACATAAAATTATAGAGATCAAACTTAGAGAGATAGGAAATAGAACATGCCACTGGATCTTCCTTCTCTATGCTTTATGATTTTTCCTTTTCTCCTACTTTTTTCTGAATGATGCCTACTTATTATTGAGACAAAAGGGAAGCACTTATATTCGATGCTTCCCTTTACAGTAAATCTTGTTTGCTGCAACTTCTTGTGACCTTTGGAGGAGTGAAGGGGCCTTAAAATGAAGGACCACATGTATTAGTCAGGTATGTTCTTAACTAAGGTGCCACAAACCAATCAGCAAGAAGAAGAAAATTAGTTTTATTTGCAGAAAAACATGGATAATTTGGAATAAAAAATGTGTAATGTGCTTAAGCTCATGTTCTAAAGGACAGATGGCCGGGAAATCATAGAGAACCTTATGGCAATATCTTCCTCTCAGTGTCACTAGTCTTTGATGATTCTGCAATCCTATATTTTCTTATAGGGTTCAAAGGAATTATTATTTCTTCAAATATTGCCAACCGGATTGATAGAAATAAAGGTGACACATCTCACTTCAGCTTGTAATGAAGCGGATAAGCTAAGAATATGCTATGATCTGCAGGAAATGCCAGACTTTTTCCTGGCCTATAAATGAATTCAATTTTGGAAATGTTTAACAGCACAAAAATGTACTTTCAGGTATGGATGCATTACAGGGCAACTCAACTTTGGCAATATGTTATTCAAGGCTGCTCATAGGTCAGTTTATGAGACAGGAATCGGGAGTAATCTTATTGCCAAAGGAGATTTGTCCAGCATTTCAGCTTGCATTCTTCAGTCGATTTGATGCTCAGAAATTCATGTTTATTTCCTAAACTCCGATGAAAGAATCTAAAATATACTAATCCTTTTACTTCCTTCTACACCCCAGCACGCATTGAAATGTTCAACAAGGTTCCTGTTGCCTAAAATTGAAACATTTCAGAAAAGAGATCCTGATCTAAGGGCAAGAAATGAATTGCAAATACTGGATTTAAACTCAGACTTACCAGATCCTATCTCTTCGTGGATCAACTGAACCATTTGAAAGTGCTAATATTTTTTAAATGTGACAGAAAGCTTGTAATCTTGTAAAATATTATGTAAATGCGAGGAAAATAAATTTACCCTTCAGTTCAGTCAATTAAACCAATGCCCAAAATGCTTTTTTTTTTTTAGCTGTTCTCAGCACCAACTGATGCCTAATGGATAAATATTGAGGTTAAAAACCAAAATGGAAAAGTCAAAGTGCCAACATGGTATACAAGGTTTTTTTTTTGCAAAAATAACTAGATTTGCTAATCCAGATAATTAAACTATAATCTACCTTGCTTTCAAACAGTATGCCAATGGACGCAGAAAATAAAAATGAAGTGTTCTGTCTGTAGAGTATACGTTTAGGTAGCAGGAAACCAAGACGGAATGATACCAAAATGTTGGTTACTTGTCGTGTCTAAAAAAAGCATAATTATTTCAAAATTAATTCCTAGTATAGTATTAGGTATAACAAAAAAAAAAAAAAGGGCAAAAATCTTAATCTTTTTTTATCATGCAAAAATCTTAAATTTAAACACTTTAATGTAGACATAATAATTCATATATTTGTATAGTATAAAATATTAAAAATTTATTTAATTGTGTTGTATTTTACACAAAAATTATTTGTCATAATTTGTATTAATACAAAAATATAAAAAATTTTTATTTTGTTAAACTTATTTATAATTTTTTTAAAATTTAAATAATATTATTTTTTTATTTTTTATTCATATCATTTTTATATTATATTATCATATCGTATTTAAAATTATCAAATCTATTTTAATATCAATATTATTACTTAATAATGAAGACATAAAATGTAAAAGACAGATTTTTTTAAAATAAAGTGAAAGAATTAAGAATAATATAATGCTTACATTTAAATTTTTTTATAAAAAAAATAAAATTATAAATTTTTATTTAAACTTTAAATTATTAATTATTTTAAAAATAATAAATAAATCAATTAAATTAAACTCTTAATTTATAATACTTACGTTTATTAAATTCTACAAGTTACCTACTTTAGCTTAATTGAAATTCAATGTTACCGATGATCTGACTCAATCAAACTTCAAATAGTTATCCAAAGTTTTCGTCCCAAAAACCACGTGCTTATATTTTTTTGTGCCCCGCTAGCCTTTCGCGTTTCCCACCACAACAAAGAAAAGAAAAGAAAAGAAAAGAAAAGAAAAGAAACACATCTCTGTCAATCCACACTCAAACATGGCCTATTAGTATGATTTAATTAATAATTTAAACACATATAATATAAATTAATAGTACTCGTGATCCATGCGGCAATACATATATATAACAATGCCATGCCCTCACTTCACACTTTGTTCACATTTTTATTATAATAATAATAAAATAATGATAGTTTTATAGTTGCAAGGTCTTAGTTATTTAAACATACTATAAATGTTTCACAATATCACCAAATGACTTTTTCTTTCCAAGAGAAGAAAGGACATGTTATTGGTGGAGAAGATGTTGACACGTGCAATCAGCACGCGGGAATTGGATCTCCGAACCTAACCTAACTAAGAATAATTAATTAAATAATTATAAACAGATTATTCACATTGAAAGGTCATGTCATAATTTTGGCTAAAGCAAGAATTAGTTGTTTACATTAAAGCCCTTTGACATTGGGATTGAATTTTTCTTTTGACTCTGAATTTTTGCAATCCATGCCGCCTGCTGTCGCGTTATAATTTTCTCAAATGTTGAAATTTTCTTCTTCTTTTTTGTCACAATAATTCTGTTTTTATTGTTTCTTAACCAAACTTTGAGATTGTCTAATTAACTGTTTTTATCAAGGATTAGCTTTTTTTTTTAGCCTAAAACTTTTAATGTTCGATAATTATTTTGAGTTTCACTTAATTAAAAATTAAATCGAATCAAATTTTATAAAAAAAAAATAAACTCTCTCGTCACTTATTTTTTTTATTTATAAGATTAAAAATCAAAATTTTATTTAAAAATAATCAAATTTTTTAATCACTCGGATCAATAAATATTAGCAGTTCTTAGTTGTTATCTTCTCCTTTAAAGTTAAAGCCACAAAATAAATTTGCATTTTATGAAAGAAACGATAAATACTAATTGAAAAGTAGAAAAAAAAAAACAACCAATAGTAATTTAATTATTATATACATACAGGTTGTAAAATTTTTTAATTCAACAGACAGAAATAAAAATTTATCATTTATTTTATTTTTTAATATATTTTAAGAAGTATTTGTTACTTTGCTAATTTTATATAAAAAATTTAATTGACGATAAATGAAATAATTTTTCATATTCATAAATATATATAATAAATTAGAAAAATATATATGAATTATGTAAATTATTAAGAAATTAAGGTCCTATAAAAAAACATATATGAGTGTAAATTATACTAACCCAAAGTAACTATTATGGCTGAAAAAAATGTTTACATCATTCTCAAATTCAGACAACAACAGCCGAATGTATCATTAATTGTTGGTGTGTGTCGAACTTCATCTAGATTTTGGGCAACAGATGTTAAGTCATGGTCTACATCATTATCAACATTATTTATCTTGGGATCATCTAGTAATCTCCGCACTTATAGTTTCATCACACGCAATAAGTCCTTTTTTTTTCCTTCTTTGCTTCTTCTTAAAGCCACGTCATGTCCGGACATTTCAATCACTTTGCCTTCCAGGAAAAAGCAACTCACGCGGACAAAACATAAAGGCAAAGCAAAGTTAATTGTCCTAACTCCCAATTATGCAGTGTAGTAATAATTTTTATTTATTACCATAATACCCCATGGAAAACGTGTTTTTCTTCTGCTGAATTGTTTCTGTAATTTATGTATGTCGTTAAGGGTTTTTTGGTCACTTAGTTGGTTATATATATTAAGGATTAAGGTCTGAATTAAACCGTATAGCCTCACAAATTTCAGAATAGGTTGAAGCTTCTTTTAATGGAGTCGGGGGAAATTATAAAGCTCTTTGATTCATGTTGGTTTGAGATGGAAATCCTCAAGAAACGGATATCTCCATCAACATCAACGAGCTTTGAACCAAACCCAGATCGCCAAGTTGAAGAAAAGTCATTAAAACCGGAGTTTACACGCACCCCAACTCTCCATACAAGGTCCATGAGTGACCAGTTGAGCATAAGCACAAGCTTCCTAGGTTCTGATTCTTTCTCACCAGACTCTGTTTTCTACTCACCGAAGCTCCATAAAATCATGTCAGGCAAAGAAATTACAGAAGAAGAGTTGCAAGAAACTATTCAAGAATCACCTAACAAGAAGGTTGTTGCTAATAGGAGAATTACAAGAAGAAAGAAGGGTCTAAGTAAGAGCTTGTCAGACTTGGAATTTGAAGAGCTAAAAGGGTTTATGGATCTTGGCTTTGTTTTCTTGGAGGAAGATAATAAGGATTCAAGGTTGGTTGAGATAATTCCTGGGTTGCAAAGATTGGGAAAGAAAAAAGTTGAAGATGAGAGTAAGGAAGCTGATGATAAAGCTGAAGTTTCAAGGCCTTATCTCTCAGAAGCATGGGAAGTTTATGAAAGAAGAAGAAAAGAGAACCCTTTGATGAATTGGAGAGTCCCAGCTTTGGGTAATGAGATTGACATGAAAGACAGCCTCAGATGGTGGGCTCATACTGTTGCCTCTACAGTCAGATGATGAGGAGTAATTCACACTTCAAAGTTTTGGTTTACTTGGGATTTTTCCCCAAATTTTCTCTTTTAATTCTTTTTTTTACATGATTTTAATTACTCGATACTGTATTCTGCAATCGTTTCTCTTTGTTTCAGTTTAGTTGTAAATAAAGATTAGATTGAACAATGAATAGCAATTTCTTTCGTCAACAGATTGATGATTTACCGAGTCTTTGGTCTTTACATAAATTTGTTTGCTCTGAGGTTGATGTTATCGTCTGCCAACCTAGAAAAGCTGAGGGAACCAATTTTCTGGAACAATAACTAAATAAGTTGGGTGTGAGAGGACGTTTCCAACTAAAATTGTCAGATGCATGAAAAAAAAATCTCAATGTCTGAGAAAAACAACTGTTAACTCCATCTCAGACTTTCAGGCAAAAAGAAATTAAATGTTGGAGCAAGTTCTGTACCTAAAAAAAAAATACTAATTAATAATGTATTAGTTATGATGTTATTAACTCATCACCCAAGAAAACGGCTATTGATTTATTGGAATTTGTAGTCCATTTTTGTTAGTTAATAGAGGGCCTGCAATTCTTGGACGATGGGGTAGGAATCGATGGATAATAGATATATGTCATTATTCAATTTAAATATGTTAAATTTAAATAGTTATAATAATGTATTATTCGTGATAGATTCTAATAGGATAATCATAATATCTTTGGATATCTGAATTAATTTATTTATATTCTCATAAATAATAATAAATATTTGAATTCATTATTTGTTTATATATGTAAAAGTTTAAGATTATTGAAAGTTTCAAGCCTTTGCAAAAAAATTTATTTATTATTAATTAAGAATAAATTTGAATTTTATTTATTTTATATTTTAAAAAGTAATTAAAAATATATTTTTTAAATTATTAAAATATTTAAGTGAATAATATTTATTTAAATAGATTCGAATTTGAATAGTAATATTAAAATTAAATAAATATTTAAATAAATTAATATATTATTAATATTAAAGAAATTCAGATATAGAGATTTTAAAAATAACAAATAAAACACATGGAAAAGGAGTTGGGGATATGGGCACATGGGCACATGGGCACATGGGCGGGCAGGCCCATGAAATAATTGATAAGATGAGCTCTTTGATTTCATCCCAAAGTCAAAAGATGAGCCCAAAGAAAAGGTATATAACAAGCCAGATTAATGGAGATTCTCCAAGTGGCTAGTTGTTCTATGAGCAACTTGATTGCTCAAATAAAAAAAATAAAAAAACTTCCAATCATTTGGTTTGGTTATTTCATGATACAATGCTCAAAGATTAGGGTTTGAAATTTTCTTTTCTAAATTAAAAAAAAAATTACTATTATTATGGGATTTTTTTTTATCAAATAGTTTTATTATAAAAAGAAAAACAGTAATACTATTGCATCACAACTGTTCTAACAAATTAGTCAGAGGTCAAAGAAATCAAACACCAAACATAAAGCTCTTTAAACCTCAAGTTATAAAAAAAAATAAAATTATTTACATAATATGTAGCAAGCAATATGCTTCAATCCTACTAATTTCAATTTAACAACGAGACCGATAATTTTAAAAAAGGATAACATAACAAAAAAGTTATTGAACTTTATTATTTTATTTAGATAATTTTTTATTTTTAATTTATATTTAAATAGATCTTTAATTTGAATTTAAATAAACTTTTAACATAAATTAATATTTTATTTAAAATAAAAAATTATTTAAATACAAATTGAATGATAATGACTTGTTTGGATACAACAAAAATATAATAGTTTAGAGGCTTTTTAAAAGTATTTTAGGTTATAAAAAACCCTTTAAAATTATCACATAGCTTGTTGTTCTTCTCTTTCCGAGCTTTGCTTTTTTTATGCTTTCAATTATGGGAAAAAAAAAATACTAGCGTTTGATGCAGTTCACTAGTTGCAAATCTCACATAAACGTGACACTAATAAGCTGAACACGTCATCCTTTATATTGCAATTCCATGGATATTTATAGCGAACTGAGGGTTAAAAGTGATAAAAGAAATAGATCTAATAATTTGTATTTTTGTGTTATATTTTATATGTGTAATTATATGAATTATTAAAATATAAATATGATATTAATTATAAAATATATTTAAATCTTAAATATGAATATAATATGTTTAATATATATGTTATATGCGACACAATATGATTAATATGTATATAATTAATTCATTTAAATATGACACAAATAAACACGAATAATAATGATATGCATAAATGGATACGACTAACATAAATATATAAGAATTGATACGATTAATACGAATATATACAAAAATAATAAATAATACATGACTAAAATAATAAATAACTGTAAATTATTCATCATTTATAACTTAATGAATTTGATATATTAATAACATAAAAAAACATTTACATATTAAAAAAAAAATTTAAAACTCATTTAGTATGTATTTAATATATATATATATTTATTTAAATTTGAATTTATATTACATACCTATATTAATTTTTAGTATTAAATTCAAAATGATAAATTATTAAAGATTAAGGAATAAAATAATAATGTATAGAAGTAATATTATTATTTATATTGTATTTATATTATTAATATAAAAAATAATTTTATAATAATTATTAAATGAGTATCATAATTAAATATTTAAAATAATTTTTATATAATATTAAATAACTAATTAAGTACATAATTAAAATTTAAAAATTAAAATAATCTTTACATATAATTTTTATATGTTTATATTAAATTAAAATAAATATGACAAAATATATTAAATATGTATTCGTATAATAAAATTAAATTAAATGTATTATTTATATTATGTTACATATTTAGATTAATCAATATATATATGACATAAATTTTATTCTATAAAAATTTATATCGATACAAATTAATATAAAATATCTTTTTTAAAAATATATATTATTTTTATATCATATTCTCGATAAATCTAAAAAAGCAAGCAATAATAACCAATACCAACCAACGAGAAATGCTTAAATGAGAGAGAAATCATATTCGTCCACGTAGTTTTGGGGTGTCGGCTAATTTCATTTCTACTTTCGTGAATATACTTTGCAAATCCCCAGACACCCCACTGACTCAAAGCTGCCACTTTTTTCTAATAGACCAAACTGTCCCTAATTCCGCACTATTCTCCATAAAATAACCCAATGGAAACAAAGGGTTAATCTTGCCATTTCACAAAAACAAAATTTCTCCTCGTGATACTTATGTCAAGAAAATGAAGCCAAATGTTGAGTGTATCTAAAATTAAAAAAAAAAAAAAATGCTAACGCACTAGTAGCTCTCTTAGCTTCTAATGTTATCAGTTTTATTCATGTTTATAAGTCTTGTTTTACGTCCTTGGTCCTCTAATGGATGGTTCAAAGAAAGTCATGGAGAGTTTCGACTCTCTATGGTTTTTCAACAATGTGCTCACTTTACCAACGTTCCAGCACAAGGATCATGCCGCTGCCCTTGATGGAGAACCTGTCGAGGAAGAAAAACCATCAAATCACAAGATTCAGGTGGTTCCAAGGTGTCCCAAGTGTGGTGAAATTGCTGTAGGAATTGAGCAGCAGATATTGCAGCCAGTTGAAGAGGTGGAATTTGCAAAGCCAACAGAGAAGCCAGAGAGGAGGAGGAGGAGGAAAAGTAGGAAGAGAAGCAAGAAAATAGTTCTTGGAGAGCTTCATTTGGGGTTCCATGGTAACTTGGCTTCTGAGTATTGGTTTTCTGAAGAAACATATGGGTATCCAAACTCTGAAACCCAAGGTTACAAGAAAATGCCTCCTTTGAATGATGGTTTGGCCATGAAAGAGCACCTTAAGTCATGGGCTTATGCAGTCGCCTGCACTGTCAGATAAATGTTACGGCTACTACCAATTACTCATCTTCATGACCTCTGGCACTTGCTCAGTTGTTATTTTGACCACTCATCTTCATGACTGTTAACTGTGTACTTCTTTTAGCTTCTTAATGTGTTTGATTTCCATTTTTGTTTTTCGTAATTGTGGTAGATGTGCTCATAACCAAGGTTAATTAATTTGATATGGGAATGCTCAAGGTAGTTTTGTCTAGTCGTTTTCCTTTCTTCATGGAAACTTGTTTATCAACTCTGTGATTCTGATTCAAATTATGGATATCATATACACTTTAAAATTCAAATTCAATCTTGATGCTTTTCTCAAGAAATGGTAGTATTTCAAAAAGTTGTTTAAAATTTCATTAAATTCAATGAAACAAGATGCAAATATATGTTCATTTCTTGCACTATGGAAATAGTTGTGCAACAGGTAATCTCCAAAGCTCCACCTTTCACAGCATTTGTACTACCATATAAAATCAAATTAAAAATTATGAGGCATGATGATTAAAGTAAGCCTACGAAACTTTCTCGTGAAGGGGAAGATGTTTGGAGAGATGCCATCTTTTTCTGCAACTAAGTTATAACCAGATTCTGAACTCTGAACTTTGCTCCACCCAGGGAATTTCTCAGTCATCTCCAATTTTCTATCTGGTAATTATACAATATCTGTTACAGAACAGTGTTTCCACTGTTATTTCCTCAGGCCATTCCACACTATTTTCTCCTTTAACTCATAGACATTTGACTCGCGCCTCTCTGATCAATAACCAAAGATGTCGGCTCTTTTTCTTTTACTTCTGCTAGCAGGGTTATTTCCCCATTTCTCTTCCGATCAACTGCCCTCACTAGACTCCCAAAACGTGAATCCAGGACAGCCGCTACTGCAATCAAACTCCATATTTGGTCAACTTTTTCTTTGACAGAGGTGTGTATATAACTTTTTTGCTGCCATGTTGAACTGCCAGGCCTATCTACGTCAAGCTGCTGAGACGAGTATAGAGGCACTGGTAATAGAATTCAAAGGAAACGACATTAGTAAAGGAACTTCTCTAGGGGCGTGCCAAGTTATGCTGCTAGGGCCAAAATAGGTTCACATGCAAGATAATGGTTTTTTTTGTTATCTTCTTTTCACATATAATCTCGGTTTTGATTGCTGGGAGACAAGTGTACGAACACAAAACTAAATATTAAATGATTCATAATCTATTATAAATTTTTATATTGAAAAAAAAAATGAAATAAAGAATCGGGTGGTTAAGTCAAAATCAATTGAATAGGCATGTCTTGCCTAATGCC